GAAAGAAAAGAAAGAAAAGAAAGAAAAGAAAGAAAAGAAAGAAAAGAAAGAAAGAGAAAGGAAGGAAGGAAGAAAGGAAGAATTCCTGTTCTCAAGAAGCTTCTGCTCTATCAGAGGAAACATATAAATTTATACAAAATAAATATGAGGTAGCTAGGGAAGGAAGGCAGGCACTTGAAATTAAGGGAATCAGGAAAGGCTTCATTGCAGGATGTGGAACTTGAGCTGAATTGTAAAAAAAGAGAGAGATTCTATGAGGTGGGGGTGAAAGGGATGCATTCCAGTCTTGAACAACCAGCACAAAGGTGCAGAGATGAGAATGCTACAGAAATAGAAAGAAGGCCAGTTTGGCTGGACAATAGAGAGCAAAAAAGGAGAATAATGTACAAAAAGGATGTAAAGACACGTTGGGGAGAGGGTGCAAAGGTCTTTATAAAGCCGAATAATCTCAGAAAAAGAAATTGAATTAACCATAAATGAACTCCCAAGGGGAAAAAAAGCCAAGACCAGATGGATTCACAAGTGAATTCACTATCAAACCTTCAAAAAATAAAGTCTGATATTACATGAACTGTGGCAAACATAGCAAAAGATGGATTCTACCAAATTCCTTCTATGATACAAATATGGTTTTGATATCTAAGCTAGGGAGAGACAAAATAGAAAAAGAAAACCATAGACCAATATCCCTAATGAACATTGATACAAAAATTTTAAATATTAGCAAAGAGACTGCAACAGACCTGCACAACTGGGCAACAGGTAGAGGCCAAAATTTGGGTCACAGATAGGTTAGACTAAAGACAGACTGAAGATGGATGGTTAGTTGCCACCAGTCGTGTGACAAACAGGAGACTGCGCAGTGGCAACCTTACATTTTTTGCTGGCCGCCCAAAATCCTGTGGTGGGCCATATGTTGTGCAGGCCTGGGCTACAACCATATACTATGACCAAGTGGGATTTATATCAGAAATGCAGGGTTGGTTTAATATTAGAAAAACTATAAAACTTAGTTAACCGTATTTATAACAAAAAACAAAAATCATGTGATTTTATTTATAGATGCAGAATTAGCATTAACAAACTACAACACCCATTTCTGTTAAAAAAATAAAAATAAAAAACACTAGAAAATACAAGAATAAATGGGCCTTCCTTAACACGATAAATAATATATCTCTAAAACCAAGAACCAGCATTATATATTAGAATCCTTTCCATTAAAATCAGAGATGAAACAAGGATATCCATTGTCACCAGTTCTATTTGACACAGTACTGGAAATATTGGCTATACCACCAAGACAGGAAAGAGAAATTGAGAAAATAAGCAGAGGTAAAATGAAACAAAATAATCACTTTTTTGCAGATGATATGATAGTATACTTGGAGCAACAATAACTTCAGCAGAGTTGAAGGACATAAAATAAATCCATACAAATCATCAGCCTTGTGCTATAATACAAATAAAAACCAGTAGAAAGAGCTAGAAAAAGAAATTCCATTTAAAATAATGACAGAACGTATTAAATGCTTGGGAGTCTACCTATCCCAAACTCACACAGGAACTCTGTAAACGCAACTATAAATTACTGTTTCATAGAAACAGACCTATTTGATAAAAATTTCTGGGAAAACTTGAAAGCCATATGGAAGAAATAAGAATTATACCTATACCTATATACCTTAAACCTATAAGATTTAGACAAAATAAGCTCCAAATGGACACATGACCTAGATATAAAAATTCACATAATAAACAAATTAGAAAAATGAGGAAGAAATTATCTGTCAGATCTTGGGGTAGGAGGTAGATTCATGATCCAACAAGGGGTAGAAAGAATCACAAAAGATAAACTCAATAGTTTTGTTTATGTAAAATAAAAAGTTTTTTGCAAAAACAAATCTAATACAACTAAGATTAGTAGGGAAACAAACAGGTAAAAAGCTGTGAAGCTTGTTTCTCTGATAAAGTTTTCATTTTCAAAATAAATGAAGAACTAATTCAAATTTTAAGAACTTTTCTCAATTGATAAATGGCTTAAGGATATGAACAAACAGTTTTAAAAGGAAGAAACTCAGGTTATTTATAGTATATGAAAAAAATGCCCCACAGCTAGGTGGCGCAGTGGATAGAGTACCAGCCCTTAAGTCAGAGGGACCTGAGTTCAAATCTAGCCTCAGACCAAACACTTGCCGCTTACTAGCTGTGTGACCCTGGGCAAGTCACTTAACCCCAATTGCCTCAAAAAGAAAAAAAAAATGCCCCAAATCATTAATCATTAGAGAAATGCAAATTAAAGTCATCCTGAGGTTCTACCTCACACCTATCAGGGTGGTAAAGATCATGAAAAAAAATAAAATGACCAGTGTTGGAGGGTCTGTGGGAAAGCAGGGAGCTGTGAATGAGTCCAGCCATTCTGGAAAGTGTTTTTTGATTATGCCCCCAAAGTTCCTAAACTGTGCATGCCTTTGACCCAGCTATGCCACTGCTAGGTTTATAGACTAAAGAGATAAAAGAAAAAGGAAAAGATCCTCTGTGTGCAAAATATTTCTAGCAGTTCCTTTCGTGGTCACCAAAAAAAAAAAAAAAAACAAAAAACAAACCAAAAACAGAAAAAAAAAACTAACTCTGAAAACTAGGGGTTTCCCTAGGTGAATGACTGACCAAGTTATCATCCTTGAACACTTTGGAGTCTTATTGTGGTAAAAGAAATTAGAAAAAAAGGTGGTTTCAAAGAGACATGAAAGGACTTGTAAGTCCTTATGAAAAATCCAGTGAGCAGAACTTGAACAATTTGTACTACAATATCAATATTATAAAATTGAACAACCTGGCAAGACTTAAGAACACTTATTAACTGAATGATTAACTGTGATTCCAAAGGATTGCCCATCTCATGACAGAGAGATGATGAACTAATATGCAAAATAAGAGATATTTTTCCTCCTTCCTTCCTTTCTTCCTTCCCTCCTTCTTTCCCTTCCTCCTTCCTTCCTTTCCTTCTTTCTTTTTCTTCCTTTCTCTTTCTTTCTTCCTTCTTTCCTTCCTTCCTTTCTTCCTTTCTTTCTTGTGGGTGAGAGGAGGTCAGGAGAGAAAAAAAAATGGATGCTCAATAATTGAAAAAAAAAAAACCATTTTTAAACCAAACAAAGGAATTGATCTTTTATTCTAGAGGCAATGGGGAGGCAGCGGAGTTTTTTGAACAACATGGTTAGATCTGTACTTAAGGAAAATCACTTTGGCTGCTGTGTAGATGATAGATTGGAAGAAGTGACACGAGGCAAGAAGGACAATTGGGAGACCATGACAATAGTCTAAGTGAGAGGTGATGGGGCCCTGACCTAGGGCGGTGTCTGTGTGGCTCAAGGTCTGAAATATCCTGTCGAGGTAGAAGCAGCGAGATTCAGCCATTGATTGGCTGTGTGAGGTGAGAGTGAGCAGTCAGGGATAAAGCTGAGACTATCCTGGGAGTCTGGAAGGATGGTGGTACCTGGGACAGAAATAAGGAAGGTAGATTCTTTATAAAGATAGATTGGGATGGAGGGAAAGATGATAAATTCTCTTTTGACATGTCGAGTTTCATAAATACTTCCAGGACTCTTAATTTTTGTCCTCCTAGGCAACTCTCTGACTATAAATTTCAAAGCTTAGACTGGTCTACGTTGGTAAAAGGAGTTTACTCATCGAGGGTTTTTCTATACCAACAATCTTATAGGTCTGAGCTAACTGATTGACTAAATGAATGAATGAATGAGCAAATGAAAGCTTGCAAAGCATTTTCCTCGCAACTCCATGAGCTAGCTAGTGCAAATATTATTATTCCCATTTAATTTTTATTACTCTTTATTTTTAAAAATGGGGTTTTTTTGCAAGGCAATTGGGGTTAAGTGACTTGCCCAGAGTCACACAGTTGGTAAGTATCAAGCATCTGAGGCTGGATTTGAACTCAGGTCCTCCTGACTCCAGCGCTGGTGCTCTTTCCACCGCGTTACCTAGCTACCCCTAAAAATGTTCCTTTGATGTCTTCTATTTTGATGTCAGTGATGGAGCACCTTACCTCCCTTATAACAAGTTTATTACCATTTTATAGATCACTTACTCAGATCACATTGGCTAGTAAAGGTCACAGCTAAGACTTAAGTCTTCCCATGCCAACAATGATGCTCCTTACCCTGACAAGCAGCTTGATCCAAATGACCATCAGTAATCACAAGATGTTTGAAGATACATCATTTCTCTCCTTTCCTTTTCAGGCCGTGGGCTTCTAAGAACCTACCTCCAAAATGCAGCAAGGACAACCAATGGTAGTGGTGACTCAGCCCCAGGGTGGCGCCTACCCCCAAAACTCCAACTGGCAGACAGGTCTTCTAGATTGTTGCAGCGACTGTGGAGTCTGTAAGTCCTGATGCCAAGTTAATACTGAATGTGATTGATATAAAATCAAATTTCCAATCACCCTTTTGCATTCTTCTGTCTCTATACAGCATGTTCCAAACGCTATCCATCAATCCTAGTCAATATGATGCTGCCTTTTTTAAGCACATAGTAGTGGTCACCAAATGATTTATACACCTTGTACTTGTCAATGAGTAATCTTACTCCTGTGTAATCTAGGACTTGAGGTCATTTGCATAAGACTCTACTCAATGGTGGAGAATGGTAACTGAGCTCTCTCCTCTCCCAAGTTCTCACTGTGACCCTCACACAAAGCAACCAAATGAATTGAATTATGATTCCCTCCCAATGAGGAAAGTCTTATGCAAATAAGCTTGACCCCCAGATTATATTGGAATATATTTCAAAACTGAGATAACAAAGACGTATCTGCTTTATTCTATCACTGATAAGTCTGCATGTTTGTAATTAGATCTAAAGTTCATTTTCTTTCATTTTTATTAAATAAAATATCATCAATCAATAAAGAAGCATTTTTAAAATACCTACTATGTGTCAGAAACTAGATTTCTGTACTAGGTTCTAGGTTGTATGTACTAGGTATCAAAAATTCTAGGTTATATGTACTAGGTACATACAAAATCAAAAATTTAGCTTAAATGTCTACCAGGGAAAATGACATGTACACACATATACATATAGTATATGCTATTTAAATAAAAATTAATCTTAGATTAATTAATTTAAATTAACTTAGTTAAAATAATTAATTAATTAATTTGAAGAAAAAGCGGCTTGAAAAGGCCTCACAAAAGAGGTGGCATTTGAAAGAGCTAGGGATTCGGTCTCGGAAGTGAAATTGAGTAGGGAAGGAGATTGCCCATCCTGAAGCCAGAGGCAGGAGATGGAAAGTCATATGTGAGGAGGCTGCTCTAGCTACTTCTAAACACATATCAAAACCCCTACACAAAAATCAGCTAGGTTACTTTATAGCGATACCAAAATGTAGGAGAAATGTCAGAAGACAACGTCAAAAGACCTGGGTCTAGCTCTGACACTTACTAGTTATATAAAGTGGGCAAATCACCTAGCCCCTTTAATTGAGTACATTGTTTGTTTTTGTTTACCCTTCTGGCATAGCCCAGATAACCCTGCCACCTGGTCTGATCAACCTTCACTTATGAGTTGGAAAAGGAAATGGAAAACCACCCCAGTATCTTTGCCAAGAAAACCCCAAACAGGGTCATGAAGAGTCAGACATGACTGAAATGACTCAACAGCAGCAAAGTGCTAGATAAATGCGAGCTATTTTTAAGAGTCAAGATTCAAATCCAATGACTATTTCCTTTTCAAGTCATCTCTCCCTCAAATTCTTAGCTTTCGAATTTTGATCCTCATTTTACTATCACTGCTTGTTTTTTCAATGACCCTAATAGGAGGTGTGACTTAGAAGCTACAATTGGCTTATCACACTATCCACCCTGGTGGCACCTTGAGTCATTCTTTCCTTTCTAGTTGTATTCTAGATTATCTGGTTGAAGCCTCAATTCCTTAGTCAATTTGAATTGTTAATGGTCCTGCCTTGTTCTCCTGAGACAATCAAATCTCAAGGAATGTCTCAATACGTTTTAAGGAAAAACTAGTCTAACTCGCATACAGAGAAAAGTTAGGATATTGCTCCTACCCCATTGTTGATGTGTAAATTTCACCTTTTTGGCTGCTTGCAAGATTTCTTTTTTGATTTGAAGCCCTGGGACTTGGGACCACATTTCTGGGTGAATAAAAACCGGAGCTCCTATCTGTCAGCATTCTTTGGTTTCTGTTGAGGGCCTGTGTCCATTATTTCTAGGCAACTTAATTGTATGAGGTAGTGGAATATGGTGCTCAATTTCTTTTTATGCGGGGAGGAAGGGAGGTCAATAATTCTTAGATTTTTGTTGTTTAGTTATTTTTCAGTTGTGTCTGACTTCATGACCCCATTTGGGGTTTTCTTGGCAAAGACACTGGAGGGGTTTGCCATTTCCTTCTCCAGCTCATTTTATAGAGGAGGAAACTGAGGCAAACAGGGTTAAATGACTTGCCCAAGGTCACTCAGCTAGTAAGTGTCCGAGGCCGGATTTGAACTCAGGAAGATGAGTCTTCCTGGCCCTGGGCCTGGCACTCTATCCACTGCACCATCTAGCTGCCCTATATAGGGCATCCAATCAATCCAAAACATCCAATCTGCAAGAAAAACCATTGAGGCAGAACTCTGAGCCAATAACCATTTATTAAAAGAACCTGGTGCTCTTAAGTGAATGGGATCTCAGACCTTCCTCACAATTTGAGACGCCTGTTTCCTCTAGGGAAGCACTTTCATAGTGCTTGCTAGCTGGACAATACAAGCGGAACAGGCCAAAAATACAGAGTCTGATTGGTGGATAAACCTTGCCCTTGGCTCTCCAGGAGGGTTTACACAAAATACAGATTCCCATTGGCTGACAGATAGACTTGGAGGCAGACCTGACTTTATCTTGACCTTCCAGGCTGGGCTGATAAGCAGATGGCAAAACCTCGGCATAAGCCCAGGGGCTGGTAGAAAGGCAGGCCGCAGCCCAGCAAGGAGGGTCACTCATTGGCCAAATGCTCGTAACCACCTCCTCATGTTGGACAATAAGGAGATAATGAAGGCTAGAGAGGTAATGAAATGGCCGGGGGACTTTCCATGTAATTGAGTCACATCTGTCACAGTAGGCTTGGTCCCCTGCTAGCAGGAGGAAAAAGGAACTTTACCTTTTCCTCTAACTAAATATATTGATAATTATAATGTTAATTGATTGACTATATGTATATTGATAACAGGTACAATATATTAATTGATTGACTAAAATTAAATATATATCGATTGGTTGGCTAATTTGATTGACTAAATGTACATTGATGGTAGGTATACTCTTTGATATATTAACAATTATTACCAGTCGTTACCTCTATAAAATCACTAGCTGATTAATACTGATTGGAGTGAAATAGGGGTCTAATCACCTATTTCACCTAATTAAGATAGCCTTGCAGAATTTTGCCCTATAGCTCTGTTGCTTTGGTTTGCAGAGATATGAAGGCTCCTAGTTATTGTGTTTTTTTTTTTAATTTTGCTTTATTCTTTGTTATTCCATGTTGGCATTTTCTCAATCTGCCTGAATCACTCTATTCCTCATAAATGACACAACCTTATTAAGATTTTACCACCACCTTTGCTACTTCATTAATTCTTAGGTTTCTCTTCTCAACAACATATGTGCCAAATCCATCCATCTACAATTAAGCCGCTGGACACACATTGGAAAGAAAATTGATTAGCGGCCATACTCAGGTTTCACATAAGCCATTTTGGACCAGTAGGGGAACACTCAACATTTTATTACTCATGCAGATCTTGTGAAAGTTCATTCATGCTAAATGGCCACGTTAAGACCAGGATGGGGAGATAGGGTGTACATGGTATGCGTTATAATATATTTTTTCCTCCCCTTCCTCCCACCAGTGGAATTAGCAGTTTCTCTTTAAAGGGCCTTGGAGAATTTGAGATTTAATTAAAAAAAAACAAACACCATAAAGTAACTCCTGCTTGTGGTTTCCTCCATGATTGCCAGGCCTCTGTGGGTTGTTTTGTACCCTGTGTCTCGCATGCCAAGTGGCTTCTGACCTGAATGAATGCTGCTTGTGTGGAACCAGCGTAGCCTTGAGAACCCTCTACCGGACCAGATACGGCATCCCTGTGAGTCCTCAGCCCTATGACCCCACCTAGAAGACAAATGGATATATGTGTTCCTGTTATTAGAAATCATGTTTTTGCGTTTTCTTTGTATTGTCGTGGTCCTCCCAGTGCTGGGAACATAGTAGACACTTAATAAATGCTTATTGATATAATTTGGCCTAGTAGGGGAGATCCTCAACCATCTGCAATCCATTGGCTGACCAGCAAGGTTGCCTCATCCTTCATTTCTTGTCCTGAATAAGAGAATTAAAATGGTGGGGAGAACTAGGACTATTCCTTTCAGCTTGACTCCTTTCTAGCTATTAGAATTCCCTTAGGGCAGGGACTCAAACTTTATTTTGTATGTCATGGGCCCCTCTGGCAATCTGACCACTTCTCAGAATGTTTTTAAATGTATACATAGGACTCAAGGAAAGCAATTATATTGAGTTTTCCAATTTATCTTTTTTAAACCAAGTTCATGGACCTCAAGTTAAGGACCCCTGCTTTGAGACATAATAAAATGCCTTGTATTTAACAATCTCTGCACTGACTCTGTGCATCCTATTTGTGCATATAATGCACATTATATATTATTTCACCAATTATATTAGTCTCACTCTGTGCAGTACTGGTACAAATAAACATGAGGTATTTATTCTATAGTAATTGGGATGGGGGTGGAGTGGAAAGGGAAGGAATAAGCATTTATGTAGACCTACTAGGTGCCAGGTGCCGTGCTAAGAGCTTTACAAACATTATTTCGTTTTACCCGAACAACATCCCTGGGAGGTAGGTGTTATTATCCCCATTTTACAGTTGAGCAAACTGAGGCAGAGATTAAGTGACTTCCCCAGGGTCACACGGCCATCCGAGCCCAGGTTTGAATGTAAGTCTTCCTAACTTCAAGGTCAGCATGCTCTCCACTGGGCCACCTAGCTGCCTCTTAATTAACTGATATAGGTCATGTACTTTACCCACGTTCTTGATGCCCCATCTTGATGTGGAAGTGACCCAAGGATCTTTGCGGGCTGTGTCAGCAGAAGCTGGGAAGGCGCAAGTGTGAGTCCTATGACCTCTGCTCTGCCTGCTATCCATGGGCCAGTCTGGCTAAGCTCAGTCTGGTCACAAGATTTTGTGGATGCAACTCTTAAAGACCACCTACTGAATTATATGGATCTGCACCAGTGGGACAAAATTACAGGTCTTGGAAATAATGGAATATTTCTAATCCCATAAAGTATTAGAAAAATTAAACATAAAAAGGGAGATTCATATGAAAAAAAGGAAACCTCCCTTACTAAATTTTATGTGATTTTATCAAACTGGATTCACTATCCCAAGGATGTGTTTCTGGTTTTGCCTTCCTCACAGATCTGGGAACCATTTTAAAGCCATGAGCTTCACACACTTGGCACTTACTAACTAGTCCCTTCGCTCCGATTGCATCCAAAAACAAAACAAACAAAAATAAAAAATGAAAGCCGGGATCTTAATGATTTTTATTTGATTTTCCCTTCTTTCAACAGGGTTCCATCTGCAGTGACACCATGGTGACTTCATGTTGTATACTGTGTTCTCTTTGCCAACTTAAGAGGGACATTAATAAGAGGAAGCAAATGAATGCTTTCTGAAAAAGCTAATGGTGAGTCAATAGGACCCCATGGGTCTTTTAAGAACAACTTGGGACCTCTTAAATTTGGTGACTTTTTCAATCAAGAAAACTGTAAAGGCTGATTTCTTCACAGGAAAATAAATTTGGTTAAGTTTGGCACCCCATTTCAGTGGATGGGTACAACCCATTGGAATGGCTGAATTCCCAGCGGTCTACTCAGGATTTGGTCAATATGTTAATAATCATTTTCTAAGCACTTGCTGCATGTAAAGTCCTTTACCAGGTACCAAAAGGAGGTAAAATAAATGGGGTATTATCTCTGACTTTCAAGGGGTCAGACTAGAGTGACAATTGCGATATACCAGTATGTGTCAGCTTGAGATGGCTATAGATGTAGGCACTGGTCAAGGTGAAGTCCTACTTGGTGAGATTGAGTTCTAAATTGGATAAAGCAATCAATCATAATCTAACTGGCTCCCCTATGCAATGGAGCCAGTATCTAATGTCCTTAAAACATGGCTCTGTACACGTCACTTCCTTTCCCACTCAAGTTCACATTTCAAGAGGACAAAATCCAGCAGAGGATTTGGACTCAGAGGGCTCAAGTCTGAATCTTGAACCTCCGTGGGCCTCAATCGCCTCATTTGCAAAAATAAGGGGGTTAGATTAGAAGGCTGCTAAGGTCAATCTGATGAACAACTTACTAAGAGCCCACTACGTGTAAGACCCTGTGTTAGGCAGCAGGTATATTAAAACAAAGAAAAAAAGAGTCTCTGACTTCAAAAGGCTCACATCCTGCCAGTGGAAAGGATATATGAGTAAACACAAAAGTATATACAAAGTAAATACAAGTAACTCTTGTAGGGGATGGGCAAGCAGTGGGGGAAACATCAGTTAACAGCTTTTACTGAGCACTTGGCAAGCCCTATGCTTAAGTACTGGGGATAGAAAGAAAAGGCCAAAAGCACAAAGTTCCCTGGCCTCAAGGAGCTCACAGTCTAATAGAGGCACACAACATGCCCCAAAGATTGTATATACAAATATACACAGAGTAAAGTGGAAGTGATCTCAGAGGGAAGGCCTCCTGAGATTTGAACTGCCGTTTCAAACAAGACCACTTACGGAAGGCACTTGGGCCGAGCCTCAGGTTTTACAAGAGGTGGGAATGGGGAGGAAGGCCAGTCCTCAAGTCAGAGAAGAGTAACTAACTTGTTTTGATTGGAACATGGCGGTGAAAGGAAGCCACATAGAATCAGTCTGGAAAGATGGGGGGGAGGCAGCTCGTGAAAGGCCAAATAAAAAAATGCCAAATAAAGGAGTTTGTATTTTACTCCTGAGGCAAGAAGGAAGTCACTAAGGCATTTTCTTGGGCTTTGGGCAGATTTTGGCAGTTGAGGAGAGGATGGATTTAAGTGAAGAAAACCTGAAGGCAGGGAGGCCAATTAGGAGGCTAAGGAAAGAAGTGAGGAGGTCGCCTCACCACTTAGGCATTATTGATGCCAGAAATAAAAAGGAGGGGGTGGGAGAGCATTGAAACTTTTTTCTTTTAATGAAGAGAACAAGCAGAAGTTTAGAAGCAAATACAAAGGGAGGGAGGAAAAGAATTTGGAACTCAAAATATTCTTTAAAAAAAAAGTTAAAAATTGTTTTTACATGTAATTGGGAAAAAATGAAATATTATTTTAAAAAAAGAAATACAGATAAGTCTTGAAGGTTAATGTGTGGAATTTGCTATATACTTCTTTTACAAAAAGTGGCATGAAATGAGGAATTTGGTTTCGTATGCAATCTTGTTTTTGTGTTCCACTGGGTATATGAAGATTTTTTTTTTAAAGCTAATGGGACCACTTAGAGTGAGAAAGGGAAGAGGTGAGAGCTTAACTCTAATGACCTTCATCTTCTCAATAAAGTAAAAAATGAAAGGACCTGGGTTGGGTTTGGGATTTGGAAATAGAAAAGGTGTGTAACAAGAGGTGAGTACAAGAAAGAGACAGAGAAAATAGAGTCAGCAGGAGGAATGAGGACTCATTGGAAGTTAGGCAGCATGAACTGACAGTGGACCTAAGATTTTACATAGAGGAAATCACTCTCTGAACTGGCTTAAAGGAGGAAACTCCTTAGTATAGCTTAATTCTTGCTCATTTCTTTGGGCCACTGTCCTGTTCACTAAACTCTAAGCCTTTAAATGGACAAAAAATTGAAATAGGGGAGTTGAAGAGATAAGAATTAGAACAAGATTAAATTACAAGATTCTAATCCAGCTGTTCTTTGTCTTTGCAGATGAAGTTTGTGTTACTGATGAAGTCAATTGGCATCAGTTTTAACACCTGGAAAATCTATTTCTTTAAGTATTCCTCTAATTCTTGATCTTAAATTGCTACATGAATCATGACATGCTACATGACACGCCACGCCAGTGAAGCTCTTCTTATTTTATGTGAACATTTATTCCTGGGACCTTTTCCCAGGAAGCTTTCATCTGCGGCTCACTGCGACTCCTGTAACAATGCTTGATTTGTAACATGCGGCTTTTTTTTCTTTAGTGTAAAACAAATAAAGAGCATTCAAAATAAGATTTTCTGTGTACATATTTTATGTTAGTTAATACTAATTTTTATACTTTTCATTCACATTATTATAACAATTTGATTCTTAGAAATTTCAGTTTACTGCCAGTGAACTCTGGTCTATGAGTTACAAAGACTAAGGTTTTGCATCCTTCTGAGGAGATTTCTATAAATGACTTATTAATATTTTCATTCCATTTCCCTGGGGTCCTTATTTTAAAATATAGCTCTACTAATAATACACTGACTCCCCAAATCTCAAATGTAGCAATGGTTTTTTTTTAATATAATAAACATCTACACATATAAATAAGGAGTATGTAGCAATATGGTTTAATTTTTGATTAAAGAAAACTATTAGGAACAGATGTGAAGCTGTAGAAAAGGCATTTTTATCTTATGTAACTATAGAACACTGAAGAAGAAAAACTACTGAATCACTAAAACACAAAAAACCATTCACATTTGGCTCGCTCCCCTCTTTATTGGAAGATCTGAGAGGAATAAAGCACACATACAACATAGCACAAGGTAAAGAACTATAACAAATCTTTTAGTCACAGAGATTTCACTCCATCAATTTAAACAAAGGCCTTCAAAACAACTGCATTAGTCTGACAGACAGACACCCACCAAATAGGGGGACTAAGGATTTGGAAATCTGAAGTGTTCATTCATGCCATCTCCTCTTAAATAATGCTTCTTTAAATAGATTCTGTTTTAAGAGGACGCTGAAATGTGGAGGGTCGCAATACAGACTCTTTGGAGTTGTAGTGAAATTAATCTGTATGATCACGGAGACGCTGCAGATGCCATCAAAGTAGTGTTGAGTCACTGGGCCATCTGGGCCTCCATGGCCTGGGCCGTCCACTCTGGCGCTGTCTGGCTTATCTTCTCCAAAAGGTTATTCACTTGGAAACAAAGTGACTGAATTTGTTTGTCCCATGTTGGCAAAGCCTCACGGGCTAAAGGAAAAGAGACAAAACACAAAGACTCCATTAATCTGTAGTACTTCTACCTAGGAGGGCAGGGATGGAGACAAGACTTGGAACTTCACTGGTTTAAGACAGAGATATGGGCCTCACTGCTCAGAAGAGCGCAGGACCCAGATTATGATGTAATTGGGAAATGTCTTAACCAATTAAATACAAATAAAAAGCAACATAAATAATACTAAGTTGTGGTTTTCTAAGTGACTGTGCCCACAAGGATCCATTTCTACCCAGTCTAAGGGCCTTCTGGACACTCCCCCCATCCATGTACACTGGCATCTGCTTTGTGATTTACAGTCTTGGGGGTTGCCCAGGGGCACACAGCCAGGAGAGCTCTCAGGCAGGACATGCACCCAGGTCTTCCCGACTTCAGGGCAGCTCGCTCCCTCCATTACATGAAGCTGCCTCTGGGTCAAACCAAGACTACAGGTCCAGGGTCAGACCTCCTCTACAATTTCTTTTAAAACAAAAATATCTCCTTGTAAAAGAGTAAGTTAATTATGAAACACTCATTAAGAAGAGTATAAAAATGTACCACAGAAGCAAAAAAGCACCCAGATGATTACTATTCTCAGAAAATTACCATAATTATTGGACAGTGTCACTTATAAGAGCACAATGTCACTGTGTGACAGTCTTGTTATGAATAGAGTTACTGCCACCTACTGGGGAAAGACATTCTCTTGTCATGTGTCCGCTTCAACCAACAGCTACTGAATTGCATTTTGACAACAGCAATAATAAAGTGATAAATGCTTACTTTCAAAATGAACTATTCCATCAATCTGATCAATAAATCCATTCATCCGGCCTTCAGTAATCATCTGAGACGCTATCTTTTCTGCCTGGAAAACATCAGTGACAGAATCTCAGAAGGCTCTCAGAGCTGGCAGAAGGCCACCCCCCCCCCCCCCCCCCCCCCCCGGAAGGACAGACGAGACTCGAGGCACCACCCAGACCCAGGTTCTGCTTGGACACTTCTAACAAGCACAGCCTACACCCTCTGGAGGCAGGCCGGCCCTTCCCATAACAGGGAATTCCAGGGAAGTCAAATTCAATACTGAATAAGAGTAACTTTTCTTTTCACAACCATAAGTGTAATTTAAGACTTAAGAAGTCTGAATAAAGAAAAATATAAACTTAAAGTGGGGTTTATGGATTTTTTTTTTAAAGCACTAAGTAGTCTACAATCTCTGTTCCTTATTTTCCTAAAGTGAAAACGCATCTAAGAGAAGTGTGGAAAACCACACTCAGAATTCAACCACTGGCCATTTCACTAAATCTCCACATTGTCCAAATAGCAACAAGATAACAGGGGACTTAGGGAAGATGATTCACCTCTTCTGGGGTTTAGATGAGAAGGAAGGAGGGGAATAAGCATTTCTACAACTCCGACCATTAGCTTGTGGTCCTCTCAACAACCCTGCAAGGTAAGTGCTGTTACCCCCAATTTACAGTTGAGGAAACTGAGGCAAACAGAGGTTAAGGGACTCGCCCAGGGTCGTACACTAAGGGTCTGAGGCCGAATTTGACCTTGGGTCTTCTTGCCTGTAGGCTCAGCTCTCTGTCCACCAGGGGCCTCTATGTATCTCCTACATAGAAATGCCTGAGAAGAGGCATCCTTCTGGGAAAAACTAAAATACCAGGGAGTGACAAAGGTAACAAATATCTGGCCGCTACCATGTGAGGCAGAGAAAAACAGTTTTGTTTACAGAAAGAAAGGTGTCCTTCAACTCTCACCAAAAATTCTGGGAGACAGTCAGGATGTGGATTATTCACCAGGTTCCTTACAAGTTCTAACTTTTTCTGATCATATATGAGAACTGCCCAGATCAGACAGGAGAAAAGCCAAAGTTCAATGTTCTCTTCTATTTTCACTGTTTTAGAGCCTCTCTGTGTATACACACGCACACATCTACATATATGTGTATCTATATGTGTGTATATATCTCACACACTTGTTGTTTGTTATTACAAACGTAAACATCAAAACTGCTTATGACTTTTTCTAATTCTATCTGGAATTAGCCATTTAGACTCACACTAGCTGTGGGCTACTAACAGAAGGTGGAGGGGGAGGGTTAGGAAAAGGGATAGGCTTCAGAACTTTTGCTTATTAGCTGACTTTCCAACATGAAAAGTAAACAGAAACCAATATGGGTATATGGCCATATATCTACATACATGTAAAGGAAGAATGAAGTTTGGTGAGTAACACGGCAAGTAGTCACTTAGGATACTTCCCGTTCTCTCTATGGCTAGGGCTTAGAAAGTGTAACCATTAAACATGACCTGCTAATTAATTACTACCAGCGGTAATTACTAGAAGAGGTGTTTGGGTTTTTTCTTGACAATCTCAAGATCCTCCACACACACGTTATTACCAACTTATTGTCTCTTGAACATTCGCACACCTGAGATCCTCATTTTTGTTTTTTTTTGCTTTTCAGTGAGGCAGTTGGGGTTAAGTGACTTACTTGCCCAGGGTCACACAGCTAATAAGTGTCAAGTGTCTGAGGCCAGATTTGCACTCAGGTCCTCCTGACTCCAAGGCCGGAGCTCTATCCGCTGAACCACTGAGCTGCCCCCTGAGAGCCTCATTTTTAAGACATTCTGAGGACAAAATTAAATGACCTAGCAAGGAGAGTTAATGATCTAAGTTAAATCAAGGGGGAAAGTTATCACAACATACTCAAGAGCAGGAATTCTTAACCTAGGATTTCAGGGAGTCTTGAGCTTGAATAGGAAAACATTTACATCTTTATCTGCATTAATCTAAGTGAAATTCAGCATTTCCTTCACTTATGTGTAGGCAACAAAACATTATTCTGAAAGGGGTCTATAAGCTTCACCTACAGGGAGCTAGGTAGCACTGTGGATAGTCAAACTTATGAGCTGTGTGAATCTGGGCAAGTAACCTAACCCCTGGCCTGCCTAAGTTTTCTCAACTATAAAATGGGTGTGATAATACCACCTGGCTGTTGTGAGCAGCCAATGAGATATTATCTCTACGATCCTTTCCTTGCAAACCTTCCAGTGTTATACAAATGCTGTTTGTTTATTTTTTACCAGATCACACAACGAAAGCTAGGAATCCTTGTTCTAGGGTATCATTTTACTCTTTGCAATTGCCAAATTATAGAACATTAAAATACACACGCTTCCATTTTAGGTTACCCTTGTTACCAAATACAATTCTTTCAGAAATCACTTCAGCCCTCTGCTACAGCATGTAAGCCAGCCCCCACTCTGCATGTCCTCAGGCTCTCCCCACCCCCTCTCAGTTCTCAGGAGCTGTAAGCCATCTTTATCCTCTTCCCTCCTGCCCCCAAACTGCACACGCCCCACTTCTAGAAGAAGGCTCTCAAAGAATTGATCTAACCAGGTCATTCCCTGGTTCGGAAATCTCCAGAGGCTTCCTGTGACCAAGCCCCACACTAGTCCATTCCAGCATGAATCGATTCTATCTACCACACATGTTCTACTGCAGGGCTGTTAACAGTCAGGTGGATAAAGAGACACTTGATCATCTGAGGAAGCAGATGGCTCCCGAAAGGCTTCCTGTAAGAGGAGGGAACGCACGACAAGCCGAACTGAAGAAGCCGGGGGGGGGGGGGGGGGTTCCTCAGATGGTAGGGGGGGGGGGGGGGGGGCGGACCGTTACCAGAAGTGCGGGGGGGGGGGGGGGGGGGGGGGGGGGAAGAATGCACAGAAGGGGCAGAGTCTGTACAAGGCACCAACACAAACACGGAACGGAGCCTGAGTCTAAGGAACAGAGAGCAGGCTAGCTGGGGCAGGAATGATGGGATCATAATATGGCTACAGAAAAATGGTTACATCAGCTTAGGTGGAGGATGTATTGGAAAAGGGAGAAAATGGAAGCTGGGAATCCAATCAGGAGGACGCTGCCACAGTCTAGGAGAGAGGTGATGAGGGCTTGAATTAAGGTGGTGGTTATGGGAGGGGAAGGGAATAGATGCTTCTGACGTTGTGGAAGCAGAATTCACAAGCCTTGGCAACAGGCTGGACGTGGGTGGTAGGGAGAGGGGTGAGCCCACCAAGACTCCAAGGCTGAGAACCCAGGTGCCTCTAAGTGGGTGATGCATGAAGGGACAGAAAGAGAAGGGGCTTTATTTTGCACACGTGGAGCTTGAGTCCTACCTAAGAGGAGGCACAGGGCTGGATCGGCAAGTCATCTGTGTAGAATGACGACTGCTGAGGTCACCAAGAGAAAGGAAGAGAGCCTCGTGGAATGCCCACGATTAGAAAGCAGGACAGTGTTTATGACTCAGGCGCTGGGGACAAAGAAGCAGCAGTCAGACAGGGAGGAGGAGAGCAAGGGGAGAACAAAATGAAACCTCAGGGAGGACACAACCTGCTGCAAAGAGGCCTAGAAGGATGAGAAAGGCTGCTGGATTTAGCAACGAATCACACCCTGGTAACCACTGGAGGGGGAGTTTCACCTAAGCAATGAGGTCTGAAGTCAAATGGAAACAGGTTAAGGAGAAAAAGGAGACTCAAGCTGTGAATGAGAGATTGGATAAAAGCAGCATGAAGAATGCTACAGTCAAGTAAAGATTACTCAAGGATGGAGAGAGGCCCGAGCATGTTTACAGGTGGCCGAGGAGCCAGCAGACAGAGAGACTGACAATTAGGCACAGACAAAACAAAACTGAAAGGGCAAACTGCTAGAATAGACAGAGCAGGAAGGAATCAAAGGCACAGGTAGCGGGGCTGGCGCGGTGAGAAGGGCCACCGCCTCCTCAGAGACGAGATCAAAGGTGGAAAGAAGGGAGATGATGTGAAGGGTCTGTGAGGAGGAAGGGAAATTCACGAGGCAACGTGACGAACCGATCAGCAAAAAAGTAAAGCGCTGCGAGAGGCCGGCTGACGCAAGACAACGCAAGTGTGGTGCACTTCTTCCTCCAGCGCCATTCAGGAGCACGAGAAAAGGCAGCCAAGGCCAGAACACAGGCTCCGAGTGTGGCGACGCACCAGGGCACCAGGGCAAAAGGACAAAAAAAACGGGAGAGGTTAAGGCTGCAAAAGGTAGAGATGCGTGGAAAGGGAAGCTCGGTCAGGAAAAGGTCCTGGGGGAGCACTGAGGCACAAGGACACACAGCAGACAGACAGAGGAACTCCATGAGTTCTGTGTCGCTGTGCTGGGATCCCCATGAACATAACAAGACCACGAGACTTCGAGGAGGAGGAGGAAGGCCTAATTGTCCCGTTTCATCCCCCATTCATCCCATGCAAGCCCCCAGGCTCCAGCTAAACTAACCGGCCTCTTCTGGGGATAGGGTCCCCGCCTTTCTGCCTTGGCTTGTGTGATCCCCTCCACCTTCCCCAGTCTACCCACAAGTCTGTGCTGTAGCTGCCCGTCCTTCAAGGCCAAACCAAACGTCGCCTCTTCCAGGGATCATGCCCCGATTTTCCCTTTCTTTGAACTTCCTCAGCCCTCTGCTTGTACCTCTTCAGATACCCAACCTATTCTGCCATTTGCCACAGTTATTCATCTATGCTCATGCATATCTGCCCCGATTAGGAGCTTCCTCAGGACACAGGCTGCTTTATTCATCTCCGTAAATTCTCCAGCATCTGGTACGTTCAATGGATGCTCAATGACCAACAAATGAATTCTAACATTCTGACTACTATTTGGTATCAAACATAAGAAAATACCTTAGCTGCGGGGATCTCTAACAGAGCTCCGAGCTCTTCAAATGTAATATTATTATATAACTTGCTTGCAGACAACAAATTGTGTTCAATGACAGCTCTGTCCAAGATGCTGGAACCTTATGTAAAGTTAAACAGACAATGATAAGTTCTCCACCAATTCTGCTCTGCGTTCCAAATTACATTAATTTCTTTGCAGGTAATACTTATACCATTATGTGTATTATCCTTCCAACCACACAAAAAAGGTCAGTTTGGGCTGAGTCAACACAAAGTGACTTTAGCAAAATATAAGTTCTGAATTCAATCAAGTGGAACTAGTTTTGAAAAAAAAAAAACAAAAGAAAAACAAAACGCTAATTCACTGAATGAATTCAACTTTTGGAGTTTCTTAAAACTAAGGTTATACCTTCTTACCTTTCAAAAGTGGGAAAAAATGATTGAACATTCTCCAAGGTAAGAGTAAAGGTAACTAAAAAGAGTATCTTTTTTAAAAAATGACTGTTTACCTTTAAAAGTGGTAATGAAAAGAATACAACCAATTTGAGCTAGAAATACTATTGCAGGCATTTGCTGATTAGTAAAGATTTTGTCTACACAGCCTACATTCCAAATAAATAAAATGTAACTAAAAATGCAAACAAATTTGGTTGATATATATATGTAAAATCAAACTTATTGCCGTGTTTTTTCAGGCATCCAGTTACTTCAGTCATGACTAATCCCAGCCACAGAATCTCAGAGCTTGGCAGAAGCTCAGAGACGGTCCAGCGCATAACCGACTATGGAGTGCCTCTACCACATCCCTGACAAGTGGTCATCAGGGCTTTGCTGAGAGATCTCTGGTCAAGGGGGGAACGCATTTCCCTTGCACAGGGACTGTCCAAGGGAATTACTGAGTAAAGAAAACTTTTCAATGTTTCTCTAGCTTCCAAGTGGGGAAAATGTAAGACTATTCAATCAATAATCCATAAAAACTGAAGAACAATATACACAAAATGGAGCTTTCATTGGCTGTTGGGTTTTTAAAGGCATTGACTGGTCTACTGTCTCTGGTCCTCGTTTTCCTGAAAAGGATATCAGCAAAAAGTCAAATAGAAGGGGTCTATGAAAATCAGAAGCGTAGGAAAAAATACACTCAGAAGCCAATCACAGGTGCTTTACTAAATCTCCACAGTGCCAAAGTCACTACTGGGTAACAGGGAACCTAGGAAAGATGACACTCTTCTTCTTAGATTTTAGAGCCCCCTAAGAAGAGGTTTAGATTAGACAAAATAGGGGCAGCCAGGTGGTGCAGTGGACAGAGCACTGGCCCTGGAGTCAGAAGGACCTGAGTTCAAATCCAGCCTCAGACATAACACTCACTAGCTGTGTGACTCTGGGCAAGTCACTTAACCCCAATTGTCACACACACACACACACAAAAAAAAACATTAGAAAAAATATGCCCAGGAGTAACAAAAAGTTAGCCCACTGTTATGTGAGGGCAGCTAAAAAATACCGTTTTGCATCTACAAAAAGAAAGATCTTATTTAACCCTCACAAAAAATTAAGTTAGAATACGGATTATCATCTCAATTTTAAAGTTGACAAAACTGAGACAAAAGATGTGTAGTGCCTCACCCAAAGTCACATTGCTGATCAGTGCCAGAGCTAAGACGAGATCACTGATCTTTCCCCTCGATCACACTGTCTCTTAAGAGCAGTTTAAAGCAGGCCAGAAAAAAGAGGATCATTATCAATAAGGACTAAAATAAAAGAGTACAAACACTGTAATACTGGAAAATAAGTGGGAATTGGGGCGATTTCATTCTGGCCTTGCCCCTTCCTCTACGTGGTGGTGCTCAAATGATAACGTTGTACTTCATTTTTCTCCATATAAAACAATATTAATAAAATCTGTGCTCATACTGATACATGATGTTTGAGGATAATCACAATGCTATTAAGTACTTTGCTTCAAGGTATGGGAAAGTAGGCACTTCTCTTGCAAATGGCATCCAAAAATCTACTGGCCTGCAAAAATTTTCCCTAATAGAATTAACTTTGCATCTAAGACATGCAACACTTTAAACAGTATGAGCTGTATGACATATAAATTAAAATTATGATTAAAGCAGTCTATAATTAATATTACCTAACACCTACTAGCCTAGAAATATTAAAAGGCTCACAGGAACAGGACACTTATGAAGCTGGATTATCAGTATCACTACTATTCATAAACTCTATACCATCAGCTGTAGTTGCTTTTTGGTGAGGCATCAACATAGCAGCAAATTCTTGAAGCTGATTTCCTCTAATAATCCTATCTAGATACATCTTCTCCAGGATTCCATAGGCTGCCAGCTGCTGACACCTTTCATCCTTAAAAAGAGTGGCTAGCATTCGAGAGCGCTGTTGTCCTAGAGAAACGAACAAGAACATCACCGACACACTTCTCTAGCAGAAAACTTAATATTCATGCCTTTAAGCAATAATAAACTATGTGGACTTTGATAATATAGCTCTTAAAAACCAGACTACTGGCTTTGAGTTAAATGTCTAGCCCAAATATTTTAATGTCATATCTTAAACAAACACAGACCAAGATTAACAAATTTCAGAATTATTTCAAAAGTCATGTTTAGGGTTACTAAAACTTACGCGTATCAATTCCTTTTTCATTTTACTGAATTAAAGTGATTATATTATGTAGGTTAGTATAAACAGCTTTCTAAAAGCATATGTTAACTGTATTATTTACTGTATGGGAGATATGAATGGAAGGCCTAGAATTGAGGCCTGCAACGAAAATATAAACGCTTCAAAGCAGCACAATGATTACAATTTTGCCGCCCAAGTGAGGCAGACTCAGTTTTTCTCTGGGCATGCCTTTTTTGTTACACTCATTTTTATGTCACTTCATTACTTTTTAAAATTCACAAAGCATTTGCCCAGAGATGATCTTATTTAATCTCACAGTAACCTTGTGAAGAATATAGGAATCACTCCATTTCACAGATGAAGGAAATCAATCTCTGAGACAGCAAGTGACTTGATCCTGCTAGGAAGTGGTAAATTTGGGGCTCTTTGCAGTATGGCCAGGCACCGTGTTCAAGTACCAGTGAGGGATGTGTGCAAGAGTTATTAACATAAGTGTATACTTAGAAATAGGATATTAAAGAAAATAGCAATTACTCAGTACACTGACCTCCCTTTTGTCTGTTAAAACACTTAACTTTTATCTCCCCCAAATACTAAGCACCCACAAATAGACGATTCTAACTTACCAAAGTTGGTAGTTATTAAAAAGAGTCATCCTTTGATCCATGGGATTCAGATAGTGACAACGTATTTACCTGCTGATGCTAAGATGGTACAGTGCAAAGCATGTTTTAGGGCCTCTAGTCTCTCACTTTCATGGACTATCGTCTTATATGAGAGCTCATTGTATCTTTGGGCAGCTTCGATGAACTTTCTTCTATAATCAAGAACACGAGCATAGCACACCTGCAGCAGCAAGAGTAGGTCTAAATTAGCAAAAATAAAAAATCAAAGGGTCAATGGACCTCCTTCCACATCCGTATGGTCAAATGGTCTGTGCCCTTTGGGTGTTGTGGAGCCCTGAGCGGAAGTCTGGGAAAGCTCATTATCTCCCTCCTTAGAATGACATCTTACAACGCGTAAAATGAAATACAAAGGACTCCAAAGGCAACCAACTCTACTGAAATCCATTTACCAAAATATTACAAAAGCCAAGCTCCCAGATGCCAGATTAAGAAGCCCTGCTCTAGTCCAACCAATAATTAAACAGGAATCCTCTCTAAAACATATCCCACTATCACCACTTTGCTTGAAACATTACTGTGCACAGGATGCTGCAGTAGGGAGGGAGGAAAGGAAGAAGAGAGAAACGAAGGAAAGAGGAAGGGAGGAAGAGACAGAGGAAGGGAGGCATAGAGGAGAGAAGGAAGGAGGAAGGGAGGGAAGGAAGGAAAAGGAGAGACACTGGCGGATCAGCTTGCCCTCTTGGGGTCCTGTGGTGGAGATCATCTGCAGACCCTTTAATATCAAAACCTTCTCCCACTACATTCTTTGATTTCTGCATGCTGTTCTCATGTACTCATAATCACATTTTACATATCTCTTCACCCTTTCACTTTGCAGCTGGAGCCCTGACAAGACTGAAAAAGGTATCAACAATTACAATTTATACATCAGCAAAAAAACCCTCAAAAAACACCAACATGGATCTCTGGCTTTCTTACTGTGACCTGAGGCTTGCTGATTCCTGGCTAACTTTTCCAAAGGGGTGGACTTAGCAAATTCAGAACATGTCCATACAATAAAAGATACTGAAATTAAAAAGAGCTGAAATGGGATTTTCTGCTCGGGAAATTTTTTCTATGCTTTGGCGCCATGGTTAATGCAGAAATTTTTTAAAAATAAAATTTAAAAAGCAGTCCAACAAACTGATGGGGTGAGCTTTAAAAAAACCAACCAACAACTGGTGGCTTTGCGTTACAATTGCTCTTTTCTCCTAGGTCCTCTCTAATTTGCAGCTTCAGCTCTTCCACTGGACAAACACAGAACCCTTCCTTCTGCTCTGGAGCCTGATTCCATTCAATAACCGTTCAAACGTTCACATTATGAGCTGCTCATGGAGAAAGAGGGAGAACGCGAGTGCCGAGGGGAGGGGCCTCACCTTGTAGTGGATCTGCAGCTGCTCACTGGTGGATTCGTTCTGCAGCAAGGACGCTCGGTTGATGTAGGCCTCGGCCTGCACGGGGTCATCGTCCTCTAGGTAGAGCCTGGCAATTTTCAGATAGGTCTCCAGTTTATAATCCACATTGTACTGCCTGCAATGAAGGAATAAAAGACACAGGACTTCAATGTTAAAAAACAACGTCCTTGCTCCAACTGGAATGCTAGCTTCCTGAAGAAGGCAACCTAACAGGCCCATGAGTTACCTAGTGCTTCACAAATTTATATGATATTTCTACATCATTAGAAGTAAAGTATTACCGAGCTTAGTAAACGTAGATCATTTGGACTTCTATCTTATATGACAGGCCTCGCTTACATTTTAATGTTCTTCCTTCTTTGTTTTATTTGTTACATCTTAATTCCTTTACCAAAATACTCAAAAACTTGCCAGCCTCCTGTAGCAGATATTTGCTTTAATGATTACTACTTTAATTTAGCACAAATGAAAAAAAAAAACATGTTTTCCCAAACAAGGAGGACTAACTCCATTGCTATGAAGAAAAAAATCACAGCTAATTCAAATGGCCAATATGCAATTCCCTAATTACTTAGGCCAAGTGAGAGTTTAAACTACCTGTGCTATAAGAAAAAGTGAGAAGAGGGCAGCTAGGTGCCCGGCCCTGGAGTCAGGAGAACCTGAGTTCAAATCCTATCTCAGACACTTGACACTAGCTGTGTGACCCTGGGCAAGTCACTTAACCCCAACTACCTCACAAAGATAAAATAAAATAAACACATAATATAAAGTACATAGGATCACAAAGGAAATCAACTGTTTGGGGGGGGGAAAATATAACTTTAAAAAAAAGCAAGAGAAATGATTTTTAAATAAAAAATAACAACAAAAATCTAAAGGAGATATTGTCAGGAGAAACAAAGGCAAAACAGTTGGGAAACCTTGCCTTTCACAACTACTGAAGGAATAAATAATGTGAGTCACCAAATGTGCTTTTAAGGACAAGATTAAAAGTCATGTATGAATGAAAGCTTACCATATATCAAAAAGATCTCTTTCAATTAGCTGCTTTTCAGCAGTGTCACCATTGAGCTGTTTCATAACCTAAATGCTAATGGTAAGGAAGTCTACACTGATGTCTTTCTCAGCATCACAAAATTACACTTATGTGGACAGAGCCTATGGTCAAATAGCAAAAGATGAGAGAGGATTACTTTGAAATCTGACACAGCTGAACTAGTAAACCTGCCAGACGAAACAAAAAGTGAGTTTGATCACGTATTGGAATAATATCCCCCTTCCAGCAATTCACTCCTTCCAGCAATTCAGTGTGGCAGAGAGAAAGGCTCTGTATATGCACAAATATTTCTAGGAGCACTTTCTGTGGAAGAAAGAAACTGGAAATGAAGTAGATGTCTACTAATTGGGGGAATAACTAAACTAATTATCACCCATTAATGTAATGGGTCACAAAAAGTGACTCCATTGTAAGAAAAAAAAGACTAAGAGGGATCCAGAGAAGTCTGGAAAGGTCTGCATGAACTGGATGCTACGTGAGACAGGCATAACTAAGGACAATCTACAAAATAACTACAATAATGCAAAGGAAAAGAGTATAAAAAAAAAACCCCAAAACACCAGAATCCAGCTCAATGCACTGCCTAACTGTAACTCTTGAATAGACAGAAACAGGTGTGTGCTATCCGACACCATCACTACGTCTGCTTTGCTTAATGATCCTTCTTTGTTATCACAGAGGTCTCTATTGGGGAAGAGGTGCTGGAAAATGACAATGACATAAAACAAAGATCAATAATTTGTTAAAAATATGCTTTTGAGCCAAAGTACTTCATGTATTAAAGACTTAGAAATAAGGTAAAAAATTAAAATTGGAAGGGCCTTTGGGGCTGACTGTGACTGTTCTATCTTGATTACTGCAGCTTCCTCGTCATGTAGTAATCCATATCCACTGTGAAGATAAGACTAGCTGGTGTGGCCTTGGCATGCACAGAAATATGGCCTTCACTCTTTCAATATTCAAGGAAAAGTCAAAAATGTGATCTAATAACCCTATAAATCTTTGTGAGGAAGTATGATGCAGCTGTCCTGGAAGCCAGGAAGACCTTGAGTTCAATTTTCACTTGTGACACATATGGCCTGTGTTACTCTGGGCAAACCAATGAACCTCTCACTGGCCCCAGACAACTGTCCAAAACTATCAATTGCACAGAAGGTGTGAGTATACACTTACTGAGGGAGTTTTCTTACCAGCAAATAAATCAATCAATCAATCACCAATCAAGTAACAGATTCAGACTAAATTTTTTAAAATGACCACAATAATAGGGAAAAAAAACTAGATTCAAATAGTTGTTCAATAACCACAATGTAAGGAAAAATAACTAAGAGAACTCGGGAAGAACTCTAATCAATGCAATAACAACCACAATTTCAGAGATGGATGCTTATACAAGCTACCTACTCTCTGAGGGGACAGGTGAAGTCAGAGTGTAAAGCATCCAGCTAGCTAGCTAAACAATCCCCAATGTGGGGATTTCTTTTACAAGGATTTTGTCTTTCTTTCAATCTGTTTGTTGGGGGAAACTGAGGGTAGTGACAGGGTCACCAAAATGGAAAAAAATAAATACAAGGGTCATTTAAGTGGTTTTTAAAATGCATAGAAGAGAACAGAAGAAAGGTCAACAGTAAATACAGACAAGCGTGACAGCTCTGAAAATTACATCTCAGATTTAACATATGCTTGATGAAAGAAAGAAGCAAAGCTCTCCATGGTGTAAATTCATGGCTGCTCACACCAGGGGTCCTATTTTTCTGTTCTGCTTTATAGAGAAATTTTATTTGTGTTTAAGATCAGAATTTTCAAAATAAAATAAAAACAAATAGCTCTTCATTTTAAAGAACCAGGATTCTTCAGTACTAGTAGAACATGTAAAGGAAAACTTTAGAAAGGAAAAAAGCATCTTCCACTATATTTACTATACTTTTGTCCTGTCTCCAAGGGAATCCCCACCAACACTTGGGCTGCATTTCTCCAGTCTTCTTCTTTCTCATATATCGATGCAAGATGCTGCCTTATTGAAGCAACCTTAATAATTAAAAAAACAAACAAACAATTGTTAATTTGGTCCAATTTCAAATGATACATCAAGTTATTCTAATTTGTCCAGGGTAAATAAGTTCAAGTACTGGTAACCTAAAGTCCTCAAGCAGTAAAAGTTTTTATAAAACACCTTATTTTTTCAGTAAGATTTACATTTAAGAAAAAGTAAAAGCTCAAATTAATCTAATATATAGAACGAGGTGATGTGATACATTTGTAGTAACATTCTTTAAAAAGAAAATGATATTCATTAAAAATCCCCTTTTAGCTATTACTACCGCCATCTGACTGGCATCATTTACATTGGATGCCTGATTCTGTTTTATTACTACCTTTTTTAAAAAACATACTCATTCCAAACAGATTACTCCCCTGCTCAGGGAGTATTCTTTGTAACAAGGATTAAAAGATAGAGACCACTGGACAAGAGCAGTCAATGCCACACCCAAATTTGAGAGTCTGGGCAACATTTCACGGCACAGGAGCCAACTTCCTCCATGAAGGGTGTATTTTCTTAGTTTTAAACTCTGAGCACAAGCCTGGCATTACTGATCATTTTGAATAGCATTTTAAGAACAGTGTTAAGTCTTGGAAATGCACTCGATCAGTGATTCCCAGATAGCATCCTATCATTTGACAATCTGACATCTCTTTAACATGCATTGTGTTTTTCAAACTTTCATGACACCCCTTAAAAAAACTCTTTAAAACTGACAGATAATGAAGGTTTGGAATCACTGCTGCAGACTTTATAAGTAGGCTCTGGTTCTTTGCTTTTTACCTGCTCCTCAAATGAAATGACTCTGGGCTGGATCTTTTCCAAGGTGAAATGATAGATTTCTTTGGCCGTGCTGTCAGGCAGATTAGGCAGGTGTGTGCAGAAATCAGTCAGCAACTGCCGAGAGATCACTAGACTGACATTCTCATTTACCACTTGGTTTGAAAACATGAGACAAAGAAATATGAGTAATTTGCATACTTTTCAAAATTTCACAAGACAAATTTTTCATCTGCTTAATTCTTACAAAAGGGACACCTTATGTTTGCTGAACTGAACTGATTTATTTAACAAAACCATTAAGATTTTTGATCTTGATGACAAAATATATGAAAAAACATCATCTGTATGCAACAGAAATAATCAAACATTTGATTTTTTAAAAATAATATCCAAAGACAGTTTTCAGAAACAACTGAGAATTGTGCTTTCTTTCCCCTACCTACATTTTTTTTTTTTGGCGATGCAATTAGGGTTAAGTGACTTGCCCAGGGTCACATAGCTAGTGAGTATCATGTGTCTGAGGCCGGATTTGAACTCAGGTCCTTCTGACTCCAGGGCTGGTGTTCTATCCACTGCGCCACTTAGCTGCCCCCTATATTTGTTTTTAAAAGTTTGTAAACATAATGGTATAATAGTTATGAATCAATTAAAAAAGCAAAATTTAATAGAAAAGGTTATATAGCCTCCCACAATGAAATTAATCAAGCCCTGCTAAAGTCTATAAATTCCTATACTATAAACAAACTGCTTTAAAAAAAACAGGGTTGAAGATCCTATTTTTTTAAAATTTTTTTATTAATTTATTTTGATTTATCAATAACCACTTTCATATGCTTTTGAGTTTAAAATTTTTCTCCCCCTTCCTCCCCACTACCCTTCCCAGGATGGCACACAATCTGATATAGGCTGTACATTTATATTCATATTAAACATATTTTCACATTAGTGATGTTGTAAGTAAAAATAAAAACCAATAGGAGGAACCATCAGTGATGTTGTAAGTAAAAATAAAAACCAATAGGAGGAACCATCAGAAAGAGGAAACAACTCAACAGAAGAGAAAAAAAAATAACAGTTCAGCTTCCAAAGTTCTTTCTTTGGGTGTGGATAGCATTTTCCATCACAAGGCCTCGGGAGATGTCTTAGATCCTTGTAATGCCAGGAAGGGTTAAGTTTATCAATATCAGTCATCACACAAAGTGGCTGTTATTGTGTACAACGTTCTCTTGGTTCTGCTCACTTCACTCAGCATCAGACCATACAAGTCTGTCCAGGTTTTTCTGAAGTCAGCCTGTTCATCATTTCTTATAGCACAATAGTATTCCATCACATTCATATACCACACCTTGCTCAGCCATTCCACAATGGATGGGCATCCTCTCAATTTCCAATTCTTTGCCACCACAAAAAGAGCTGCCATGAACATTTTTGTACATGTGGGTCCTTTTCCCATTTGTGTGATCTCTTTGGGATATAGCCCTAGAAGTGCTATTGCTGGGTCACAGGGTATGCACATTTTTATAGCCCTTGGGGCATAGTTCCAAACTGCTCTCCAAAATGGCTGGATCATTTCACAACTCCACCAACAATGCATTAGTGTTCCAATTTTACCACATTCTCTCCAACATTTATCATTTTCTTGTTTTGTCATATTGGCCATTCTGATAGGTGTGATGTGGTACCTCAGAGTTGTTTTGATTTGCATTTCTCTAATCAATAGTGATTTAGAGCATTTTTTCATATGACCATAGATGGCTTTAATTTTGAAGATCCTATTTTTAAAACAAAGAACCAATAATGTATTTTTTGTTCATTAGTTGATAACTTTAATTGGAATGAATAACGATCCGACCTCTAGCTAGGAAATTGTTGACCATGAATACCAAAGCTGCAGCGAGGGGCAAACGGCATGCCAGGCTCCCTGACTTGGGGAAGGGATGGGGAGAGCAACACTCCTCTGGAGGGGAGCCAGAGACTCCAGCCAGCACAAGGCCAGGGCAAGAAGGGCTAGACAGTCTCCCACCCTAGTGGAGGAGAGCCACAAGGAGGCCTCATACTGAAACTGACCCCGGCACAGGCTTCTACAGAAGCATCACTTGCTTTTTCACTCTTGGCATTTAAGAAGCCAAGCAGTGGTAGATGCTTTGTAACAAACAGAGACGCTTTTGGGAGAGGATGGAAAGAGAATTTGAGGCCACTCTCTCCTCCCACCCCCCACAAAAAAACCTTGGAGGTATCAGAGAAGGAAGGAATCTTGGGAATCATCTAGCTCCTCTTTGATTTTACAGAAGAGAAAAGGAGAAAAGACTAAGGTCACAGAGACACTGGTGACACTAGTCTCACTAGAGGTGAGGTCAACCCAAATCTGACAGACTGTCAGGCCTGGAAGGAACCTTTGTCCAAGCCCTTTACTTTACAGAGTGGGAAAGAGAGACCCCTAGTTAGGGTCACGGAGGAGACTAAAATCTGCCGATGCTCCCTGGCCACCAGGGCACTAGCTCTTCTGGAGCAGTCACCCGGGGTGTCAAAACTCAGACCAAGCAGCTGAGCACAAAGGACAGAGCTCTGTCCTCCCAGGTGCTCCAAGTTCCCCACCTCACCCCAGAAAAGCTGAAAGAGATGGAGAAGGGGGCCAGGGCCAGGCAACCTGAAGGGGGAAGGTGGAGGCAGGGCCCGGCCTTGTCTTGCCTCTTTCAGGGAAGGCTGCCGAGAGCCTGTGGACGCCTCCGAGGCCCGGGGAGGGACTTGCAGGACCCCATTTCTGGCCTTTGTCCATAAAATGAATATCCTGAGGCCCAAACGTGGCTTCTGCACCCTTTCCACCATAACACAGTGCCGCCCCATTTTCCATCTGACTAAAGCCAAACTCCTTGAGAAAGGACAGATACAAACAGAGGTACTCAAGTGCTTTTTGGTTTTTCGCCACTTGAATTTGGGGAGCAGTTTATCTGGGGATGATTAATCATCCTTTCGTAAAAATCTGGAAGATGGGAAGGGCCCCAGGCTTTTCAAGGGACAGAAGAGGCCCCTTAATAGGTCAGCTTGTCCCACCCTGCCTAGCCCCAAAGGGCCCCTCTGGTACTGGGGTTAGCTGGCCTGCAGGCCTCTGAGGGGCCACTCAGCTTTAAGGGCAGAGGCCCGGGCTCCCCCCTCGGCCCTAGACTCAGCAACAGCATGGCCCCAGCAGCTCTGCCCCTGCCCAGAAGCCCTCCTCCTGGTCACTAGAGCTGCTCTGAGGGCTCCTCCACCCGCCTCAGCCCCTGGCTTCTTCCTTAGAGGAGTACAGAGACCCTTCCAACGTCCCACCTGTAGGCACACCTTCCTCACATGCAGAGGCCTGGTCTTGTTATGGAATAACAGCAGCGGCTGAAGAAGCTCTTCCAGTAAATACCACTTCAAACGGTGTCTGCCTAACTCTAACCCTCAGTCGTTCCTTTCCTAGCCTTGACTCCCAAACTTTGGAATGCTCCCAGACAAAGTCCTGCCGTTCTCCGGCGGAGCCTCACTGCGAGCGTTCCAAAGCTCTTCGGCCATGAAACATCTTCGTCTCTGGAGTCTCGGATGACCTGGCCCCCTAAGAAAACCGAGGTCTCCTTCTACGAGTTCCCTGATCTCCCCTATTCTGCGCACTCCTCCTTTCCCAGGCTACCGTGACAGCGGCCAACACTGAAACCAGAACCCACGCCTTGTCTGTGACTGCCACCTTGTCAGCACGAGCCTCACCCCACTGCCAGTGTGAGAACTATTCAAATCAAACTGAGGAAGCATGATGGCCAGAGTGCTGGGCTACAGTATAGACTCTGGCCTCAGATGCTTACTAGCTGTGTGACCCTGGGCAAGCCACTTAACCTGATGCTATCTCAGTTTCCTCATCTGTAAAATGGAGATAGTAATCGCACCTACCTCCCAAGGCTGTGTTATGATCAAGTGAGGTAATACATAGCTACTACTACATTATTATTATTATTAATTCAGCTCTATCACTGATCCTAGAAAGGGCATATTAAAATCCTCCTCCTGGGCCCCAATGTCCATCCTTATAACTTAAAAACCAAAACAGCCTCCCTGGTCACCACAAGGACTGAAGATAATTGAGGGCAGGAACTGTCGGAAATTCTGTATCCAGCGCATGGCATCGTACTTGGCACACAGTAAGTGCTCAGTAAATATTTTTATTTATTCATTAATTCCCTGGAGGCTCAGCTCGGTGTTACACCTCCACCAAACACGTCCTGGTCCCCTCCCAGGGTCAATGCTGTCCCCTTCCCTCAATCCTCAGGTGTTTACTTGCATGGGGCTGTGCCTCATCCTCCCAGGGGAGGCAAGCTCCCGGAGGGCAGGCCCTGCTTCTAGTTTTATGTCCTCAGTGCCTATAGTGACCATAGCAGATAACAAATGATTACTGAATTGAATTACAAACTATAAGGCAAACGTCATCACAAATTAAATGTTTTAAATCTGAATGACACCTGAAGTAATTAAGCATTTTTGATAAGACATTTCACAATTCAAAAATAATTCACTTAAATTAACTACTATAAATATGCCACTAAATCAAGGCCTGCAATCTTTCCTTAAGTTTCAAGACATTTGTTTCAAAATAAATCGCATGGCATATGTAGTTTAAAAATCTCTATGCAATACTAAAAAAAAACACATGGGGGCACCAACATTGCCATGATTAGCGTCACTGTAAAAATGCTCATATTTTCAAAGCTCAATACAAGAAACAGGAAACCAAGTATTAAATTTCAGTTCCACTTACTTGCTTCCACAAAGGCTTTTAAAGCCTCAAGCTGTTCTGCCCCAGGCAACTGAATGGCTTTTTCCAATATCTGTCGATACCTAACAAGACAAAATTAAAATTACTGTAACAGATGCTCAGTGGACTTACTTTCTCTTCACGATGCCTTAATTAACTGACCTCTAGGCAGTGTGATAAGGTGGAAAGAACACCAGATTTTTACATCAAGAGGAAGTGTCCAAGAATCCCAGCTCTGCTATTTACTACCTGCATGGCCTTGGCCATGACTTTCACTTCTCTGGGGGCCAGTTTCCTCATCTATAAAAAACAAGCAGATGTCAAACTCCCAGAGAACCAACTGCCCTCCTGACGTGGCCAGTCAGGTTAAAATGTAGGGGCAGCTAGGTGGTGCAGTGGATAGAGCACCGGCCCTGAAGTCAGGAGGACCTGAGTTCAAATCCGACCTCAGACCAAACACTTAACACTTACTAGCTGTGTGACCCTGGGCAAGTCACTTAACCCCAATTGCCTAAAAAGAAAAATTTTTTTTTAAAAAATCTGATTAAAATGTAATTGGGAAATGTTCAACAAAATAAATAAAAATCTAATACAACAAAAATGATGTTAATTTGTGGTTTTCTAAATCGATATGCAGCCAGGTAGGCTCAGTTTCCAAATGACATTACTAGATTAGGTGATCTCCTGTGATCCTATATCACAGAACGTATTTAGTCTGTAAGTTTCCACTACTTCTAAACATAAATGTGGTTGTATTTAATCTAATTTAAGCTATATTTTATCTTCCTCTCAGACATATATCTCTGAAAGTTTTCTAAGTGCTTTCTCAACAGATTATAGATAAAAAATAAAAGACTTTCTGAAATTCTGAACCAGAGGTAAAGACAAGGAAATACACATAATGCTTTATTATCCAACAAACATGGGACAGCATCCTCACTTCATACCCAACTAAATCCATAGCCACTAACTTTTTACTTCATTACTAACAAGGATCTGTGATTTCATCAACATAAGATACTCACTCCACTGATGCAGATACAAATCCTCTCCATGACCTGCTGTGACTAAGACAAATCCATCACCTAGGAGCCAACCTTCTAACAGTAAGCCTCTGTGAATTTTGGCTAGGATGATCCTCATAAGAGCTTGTCACAAAGTTCACACTTGAAACCTGAAGAAAACCTGCCAGAATTTGTTGTCTGCTGATGTAACTTTCAAGAGCCACAGTCCTGATAGCTCTCTAGAGTACTAAATGGAATCAAAAGTTATGGGTACCTGACAATTCCTCGGCTTTTGCTTGCTTGAGTTCCGGCTGCATCCCTCAAACAGATGGGGTACATTAAGTGCATACTCGTACTGAACACAGCGACTGGTGCACAGCAGGCACTAACAAATGTCTGCAGCTTGGCGAATAAGGACGTCGTCCCAGAATCCAAGAGCTAAAAGGGATCTCAGCAGCAGTCCAGCCCAACTCCTAATATACCTGATACTATAAGATGCTGTCAGGTGTCTGCCAGAGGACCTCCTAAGGGGGGACCTACTTCTGCAGGGAGCTGAGTCAGTCAATAAGCATTTATTAAGCACCTACTAAGTGCCAGGAACTACTAAGAGCTGGGGATACAAAGTAAAGGTAAAAGATAGCCCTTGCTCTCAAGGAGCTCACAATCTAATGGGGGAGACAATAAGCAAATGCGTACAGACAAGCGACATACAGGATGAATAGGAAATAATTAAGGGAAGGGAGGCACTAGAATTAAGAAGGGTTGGGAAAGGTTTCCTGGAGAACTTGAGATTTTAACTGGGTATTGGAAGGAAGCCTGGGAACCAGGAAAGGAGATGAGAGGGAGCCCTCAACGCATGGAGGGTGGCCAGTGAAAATGCCAGCAGCCAAAAGATAGGAACATCTTGTTTGTGGAACAGCCTGGAGGCCAGTATCACTAAAGGGAAGAATACAGCACAGAGAGTAACAGAAGAAAACTGGAAGGGTAGGAAGGGGCTAGTTTACAAGGAGCTTTGAACACTAAACAGAGGATACTGCTTGTGATCCTGATGGTGGAAAGGAGTGACTAGCGTTTGTTGAGTAGGGGGTGACCTGGTCAGACCTGAGCTTTAGGAAAATCACTTTGGTGGCTGAATGGAGAAGGGACTGGAGAGGGCGGAGAATGGAGGCAGGCAGACCCACCAGCAGCTACTGCAACACTCATCATGTGAGAAAATGAAGGCCAGCACCAGGGTGGGAGGCAGCATCAGAGCAGAGCAGGGGGAATATGGGAGAGATGTTGCAAAGGTGACATGGATGATACATAGGCAGTGAGAGTGTGGGAGTGGGAGGATGCTGATACCTTATATCTAGGGAAATATTATGTAATAGGGAAGTCTGGAGTGGGAGGCTCATGGGGAAAGAGCGAGCTCAGTTTTGGATAGGCTGAGTTGAAGATATCAACTGGACATCTCATTTAAGATGTCTGAGAGGCACATGGACATGCAAGTCTGGAGATCAGCAGAGAAGTTAGGAGAGGCAGACCTGAGAATCAGCAGCACAAAGATATTCATTAAATCCATGGGAAACAAGAAAGTCAGACAAGAGGGCACAGGACAGAGCATTGTGGGACTCCAACAGTCAGGGGAAGCGAGCCAGATGAAGATCCAGCAAAGGAGACTGGGAAGGATTGGTCTGATAGATGGGAAGAGAACCAGGAGAGAGTGGGGTCCCAAAAACCTAGGGAGAAGAGACTGTCAAGGAGAAGGGGGCAGCAACAAGGTCAAAGGCTGCAGAGAGGTCAAGAAGAGTCGGGATTGAGAAAAGGCCACTGGATTTGGTCACTAAGAGATCAACGATAACTTTGGAGAGAGCAGTTTCAGTGGGATGAGGAGGCCGGAAGACAAACTGTAAGGGGGAAAGAAGACAGGAGAGACAGCAGAACCACTTACTTTGGGCAGTCTTTTTGAGGAGTTTAGCTACAAAGGGCAGAAGAAATATGGGATGACAATGGGGATGGAAAGATCAAGTGCAGATTTTTTGAGGATGGAGAAGACACGGGCATATTTTCAGGCAGTGGGGAAGGAGTCACAAAGAGTAGGGATGACAAAGGGGACAATCTGCTGGAATGGGATCACTTGTGCAGAAGGAATCGGGCCACATCTTCATGTGAGATAGGGGTGAAGGAGATGGTAGCAGAAGGCATCTGAGTGAAAGAAGACAAGGAAGAGGGGAGAAGAAGCTCACGGTGAATGGCTGAAATCTGTTCTGTACAACAAAAGGCAAAGTTTTCAGTTGACAGAATGGGGGGAGGGGATGCCACAGTTTGAGGAGGCATGGAAAGGTATGGAAGAGCCACTGTGGATTTGGGAGGGGGAAGTTAGTAAGGGAGGTACAGTAGGATAGTCTAGAAGCAGTGAGGGCTGGGCTGAGGTTGTGTGATATAAATCTGTAGTGGACCCAGTCATGACAGTTGAGTATTTTTCTCCACCTTCATCTAGAGTAGGGTCTGGTATGGAAAGTGAGACAGAGAGGGGGAAAGGCAACAGATTATGGCCAGATAATTCCATTTTTGGTGTTCCACTCTGTTAGGAATTTTTTCTTGCCATCTAAGGCTAAATTTGTCCTTGTCTAGAAGCTCTCCAGCTTATCAAAGTTCTTCCTAAAATATGACACCCACAACTGAGCTCTAGCTGTGGTCTGATCAGCAAAGAGTGGACCTCCTTCTGCCTCGAAACTGTCTCTCTTAATGCAGCTCACGTTCACATTAACTTTCTGGTCTCACTGCCACATGGCACTGTGAGCTCACACGGGGTAGGGGGCTCACTCTAATTCACGGGTCTTTTTCTCCCCAAACTCCTATCTAACTACTTCTTCCTCATCTGAACTGTACTTGTCTACTCCATCTCTCTCCATCTTTTCCACAAAGCAGCAAGATACTTTACCATACTTTTTCTCACAGAATTCTAAAAACTTTTTTTTTTTACAGGCATGCAGCCATGACTGAATTAACATTCTGTTCTGGAACCACAGACATGGTCAGTTTACCTAAACAGTCCGTTGATGCTCAGAAACTGCCAGCATGCTGCTCTGTTTTCTGAAAGCACAGGCATATGTCAGTTCTTAATGGTTAAAAGTTATATTTGGAATCTATTTCAATGTTCTGCAGCTTTTTGTGTTTTAAAGACAAAGTTCCATTCTTCTGGTTTGGTAGGGACACAGTAGAGACAATACAGAACGAGAAAGGAACAATAAGTGGACAGAAAGGACAGCGGAATGCCCTACCACAATCTTGAAGGGCTGATGAGCAAACATCCTCTGCTGTCCACCTCCAGGGAGTGAAGTGATGGTCTCAGAGGGCAGATGGAAGCACGGTTTTCCGTCCTTCTTTTTGGACATGGCTAACGTAGGAATTTGTTTTGCATAAATGTTTGTGATGGGCTTTATTTTTCCAGCCTTCTCCAGGGGAAGGGAGAATTTCAAATTGAAAATAAATTTGAATTTTAAAAAAAGAAAGTACAGTGGAATTAGAGAAGTCCCAGATTTAACAGAACCATATTACCTCAGAGTACAAAGGGTCTCAGGAAGTATTTAGTCCACACCATACCTAACAGGAATCTATTCTACAACATTCCCAAGTAATTAGTCCAACTTCAATCTAAATGCCTCTAATTATAGGGAATCCACTGTCTCCTAAGGCATCCCATTACATATCAGCTCTAATTGTTAGGAAGTTTTTCCTCATATACTGCTCGAATGCACCTCTCTCTAACTTTTTTGCTATTGTTCAGTTGTTTTCTGTTGTGTTTGACCCTTCATGACCCCATTTGAGGTTTTCTTGGCAAAGATTCTGGAATGGTTTGTCATTTCCTTCTCCAGCTTATTTTCTTTTTCTTTTTTTTGGTAAGGCAATCGGGGTTAAGTGACTTGCCCAAGGTCACACAGCTAGTACATGTCAAGTGTTTGGTCTGAGGCCGGATTTGAACTCAGGTCTTCCTGACTTCAGGGCTGGTGCTCTATCCACTGTGCCACCTAGCTGCCCCTCAGCTTATTTTCCAAATGAGGAAACTGAGGTAAACAGAAATTAAGTGACTTGCCCAG